GCGTGGTTATTCTGGAATTTTTAGAAAATTATCTCGAAATTCTGTGACACTGAGTCATTGAAAGTAAAACAAAACAAGCCAACTCTCTGTACCTCTTTCTTCCCTGTAGTAATGTTGCTGTAAGATGCAGTGCCTTTTATCCTCGGAATGGGAAACTTAATGTAATTGAAAGAATAGCTTCCGGCCTGGTTTAGAATGGAAATACTATCTCTTTGAGGTAATGGTTGTTATTTTTAGACTGACTTACAAAGAGAGATGAGGAGTCATGATGCTTATTAGCTGCCGTTAGTTCTAGACATTAGGAGGTAGTCTGCAAAATATCGTTAACAGTTACTCCAAATACGTTCTTGAAAATACAAGATATTTTAAAGGTATTTTTGTCATAATGAGTAATTGATTGAACACTAGCGTTAGAGAAAGACTCTTAAGTTCCATTGCCAAATAAACAGTTTACTAAACAGAAATAGATTTTTCATAGTGAAACTTGGTTAGAACAATGGTGCATTCCTAGGCCAGAGTTTCAAAAGTGGCTATTAATTCAAAGCAGCTGGATTGAGGGACGGAGAAAAAGACAGTCCCGTCTTTCTGCTGCGGCTTTACAGAATTTGATATATCACAATATCTCGCTGTTTTTTGAAGGTTTCCCGATAGTTTTAGTGAGCGAGAGTGAGTGAGAGGTGTAGAAATAGGCCTTTGCAGCCGTATGTCCAGTCTTTTGCATGGAAGAAAAACTCCCAGAGAGACAACGCTCCTTTAACATAAAAGGCAGACCTGTTCTCTCTAAAATATACTTCTCTGACTTATTTTCTGCTACACATCCCACTTTCTAGGCTGGACTAGAGACATGTCAGTCCTTACTCAGCGCCTTCCCCCATTCACGTCTAGGGCCCTTGTTATGTTTTCAGGATTACTGCTTAGAAACAAGGCACAGGGCATCATGAATCTATTAGGAGGTAATAAGCTTACAGAAGGAATGATGCAGCCAAAGCCAAAGCATGATTAGGGATTCTGTGGAGCTACAGGAAGAAGATCACAGTCACTTCCGATCAAATGGTGCTGGGGTACCGGTGGCACCAGCTTTTCGTAGGTAAAAAATTCTACTTGGGTAAAATATTCTAAAATGTTGGTGTGAGTGAATTTATTGTCAGGAAGCTTTTATCTGCTCATGTGGGATGTGTGTATGTGTGTGCACGTAAATACATATGTATTCTATATAATGATGGCACTCTGATGTGATGCCTGTTTCAGAACAGTTATTTTAAAAACTCACTTAGATAGAATCTCCAAAATAAATGAGGAGACTATCTCCTGACCTCTCACGGTTCTTTTTTTTTTTTTTTGAGACAGAGTTTCACTCTTGTTGCCCAGGCTGGAGGGCAGTGGTGCAATCTTGGTCCACCTCTGCCTCCTGGGTTCAATTCAAGCGATTCTCCTGCCTCAGCTTCCCAAGTAGCTGGGATGAAAGGCATGCACCACCACACCCAGCTAATATTGTATTTTTAGTAGAGACGGGGTTTCTCCATGTTGGTCAGTCTGGTCTCGAACTCCTGACCTGAGGTGATTCGCCTGCCTCAGCCTCCCAAAGTGCTGAGATTACAGGCATGAACCACCACGCCCAGCCCTCTTACTGTTCTTTACAGAAGAGATGAAGAAATCCCCAACTGGATTTTTGTGAGACTTTCTGAGGAAAGCTTGTGAATAAAATGAGACTATTTTAGAAATTTGAGGTTACATGGAGATTGTTTTTAACCTTCATAACGAAATGATACACGATGAAATGTCAGCAGCTGAAGAGTTAATAGGGTATTTGTGATGGACGGGTTCGGGGAACAGATGGAATGCATGTAGGTGGGAAAGCTATTATTTAATCAGAGGAGGGCTACTGTGTATTGGAAGGGGGTGGATTTTTGGGGCTAGCCGAGTACTTACCATTTTGAGGCTAGACTAATATATTTACTAGTGGACACAGGAAGAAGCGGACGCCAAGGCATATGGTCAGGAAGGGAGTTAACAGGCCACCAACAAAGAGGAAGAATGTGGCAGCTGAAATGCACCCAGGGTAGGTGACAAGAGGGTACAATGGCACCGAGAGATCAAAAGGCCTTAAGAAACTCAAAAAATACCTCAGTCATAAGGAAGTGCGTTTGGAAACACTGATATTGTTACCTTCATTTGGGAAGTGTTCATGTGTGAATAGGGAAGAAAAGAAAGGAAGCAACTGTGAATTACCTTAGGCTTTCACCAGATGCGTATGAGTCAAATGTGTGAAGTGAAATTCAGGTTAAGCCTTCAAGTCACATAGGCAGGAAACCAATAAAGAACACAGACACGAAAAAGAAGTCGATACTAGATGTTCCCATCAAGCAGAAAGTGGAACAGCGACTTGAGCTTTCCCCTTTGGGTTGACATTTGAATGTTTCTCTGTGTTTCTTTGCTTCCTTTCTTTCTTTTTCTTTCTTCCTCCCTTTCTCTCTCTCTCTCTCCTTCCTTCCTTCCCTTCTCTTTCTTTCTTTCTCTCTTTCTCTCTTTCTTTTCTTTTCTTTCTTTCTTTCTTTTTGCCCTTCCTTCCTTTCTTCCCTCCCTCCTTCCTTCCTTCCTTCCCTCCCTCCCTCCCTCCCTCCTTCCTTCCTTCCTTCCTTCCCTCCCTCCCTCCCTCCTTCCTTCCTTCCTTCCTTCCCTCCCTCCCTCCCTCCTTCCTTCCTTCCTTCCTTCTTTCCTTCCTTCTTGTCTTTCCTTTTGTCTTTTTCTTATCTTTTGATTTTCTTTCTTTCATGATTACCTCTTAATTTTCTCTTTTTTTTTTTTTTTTTCTTTTTGTGGTTTTTTGTTTTGTTTCATTTTGGTTTTTGAAACAGAGTCTTGCTCTGTTGCCCAGGCTGGAGTGTAGTGGTAGTGGTCTCAGCTCACTGTAGCCTCAGCCTCCCAGGCTCAAGCAGTCCTCCTGCTTCAGCCTCCTAAGTAGCCGGGACTACAGGTGCACACCACCATGCCCGGCTAATTTTTGTAATTTTTGTAGAGAGAGGAGTCTCACCATGTTGCCCAGGCTGGTCTCGATTTCCTGGGCTCAAGCAAATCTGCCCACCCAAGCCTCCCATAGAGCTGGGATTACAGGCATGATCTACCACATCCAGCCAGGTCTTAATTTTCTATAACGTTGGTTTAGTAAAACAAAACAAAAACAAGCAAACAAATAATTGCCCTGGTTATGTTGGAAGACAGCCCATTTCCTGTTGTGTTTTTGGCTCAATGCGGTGAGTTTGCCAGGTCACTGAAAGACCAAAAACCGTATCTTCATCTGTTTTTTGCCTTGTGTGGACCTCAAATTGTGTAAGAGATTCACGGGATTGTATTTATGAAGATAGCGCCACAGTGCCATATGAATCTAAGGTGTGTTAACGGCGTAAGCTCTGGTACTTCCGGATGACTTTGGAGTTTGTAGACATTCCCGTTTGAGCTTTAAAGTCAATTCTGCAACTAGTCAGCAATTGTTGCCCCTTTTTTAGGTATGGGATTAATCACAATATGAATTAGAAGAGAAAAACAAAGTGGTAAAACATAAAATAGAACCCTTCAAAAAACATGAAAAAGCATAAAGAAGGAGCCATACCTACTGCCTCTTTAACGTATAGACTAAAAATGAGCATGGTACAGAGCTTCAGAAAGGTCTACTTCGGTCAGTGGTTTATGTGCCATTTTCATGAATCCCATTGAGAACTGGGTTTAAAAATTTATGGATTTCCCAGCCGGGCCCCATGGTTCACAGTGATAATCCCAGCACTTTGGGAGGCTGACGCGGGTGGATTGCCTGAGTCAAGGAGTTCAAGACCAGCCTGGGCAATGTGGTGAGACCTCATCTCTACAAAAATTAGTCGAGCATGGTGGCACATGCCTATAGTCCCAGGTACTCAGGAGACTGAGGTAAAAGGATCGCTTGAACCCAGAGGTTGAGGCTGCAGTGAGCCGGGATCGTGCCACTGCACTCCAGCCTGGGCGACAGAGCAAGACCCTGTCTCGAAAAAAAAAAAAATTTATGGATTTCTCATTCCCTCAAAAAAAACAAACAAAAAAAGAGTGGCCAGGCACGGTGGCTCATGCCTGCAATCCCAGCACCTTTGGAAGGCCGAGGTGGGCGGATCATGAGGTCAAGAGATCGAGACCATCCTGAGCAACATGGTGAAACCCCATCTCTACTAAAAAACACAAAAATTAGCTGGGCGTGGTGGCGTGTGCCTGTAGTCCCAGCTACTCGGGAGGCTGAGAATTGCTTGAACCCAGGAGGCAGAGATTGCAGTGAGCCGAGATTGCGCCACTGCACTCCAGCCTGGTGCCTGGTGGCAAAATGAGACTCTGTCTCAAAAAAAAAAAATGTGAGCCGGGTGTGGTGGCTCACGCCTGTAAGCCCAGCACTTTGGGAGGCCGAGGCGGGTGGATCACGAGGTCAAGAGATCGAGACCATCCTGGTCAAATGGTGAAACCCCGTCTCTACTAAAAAAAAAAAAACTACAAAAAATCAGCTGGGCATGGTGGCGCGTGCCTGTAATCCCAGCTACTCAGGAGGCTGAGGCAGGAGAATTGCCTGAACCCAGGAGGCGGAGGTTGCGGTGAGCCGAGATCGCGCCATTGCACTCCAGCCTGGGTAATAAGAGTGAAACTCTGTCTCCAAAAAAAAAAAAAAAAATGTGTATATGAGCAAAGGTTCCCACAAGGGTCCTCCAGGTAACATAAATATAGGAATTGGCCCAAGTGGAGACCATACAGAATGTCGTGTCAAACTAGAAGGTGTGCACCACGTGAAGACAATAGGGAATGGTGGAGTTCTGTACAAACTAGGATGCACGTTGCTTACCTAAAGTAAATTCAATTTCAGAACATTAAAAAATAGCACCTACTAAATACATTTGAGGTAAATCTGGCCCCTGGGCATCCCAGCATGCAGTTCTAGGCTTTTATTGATTGCGGCCAGGCTTTTATTTATGATGTATTCATGTTTTTGCCCTAAGGCCCGACAACAAGCTCAAATACGTCACCAAATGGCAGAGGACAGCAAAGCAGATTACTCATCCATTCTCCAGAAATTCAATCATGAGCAGCATGAATATTACCATACTCACATCCCCAACATCTTCCAGGTAAGTCCTGAACACCTCTCAGATTTTGTGTTTTATGCTTTGCTTTCCTTAGAAAGACGATGCTCTGAATCATGGTTGCTGGGTTTGTATTCTGAGTCTTTATATAATTCCAAATTTCCACTAAGTCTTTTTCTTTTCTCTTTTTTGTGAGACAGAGTCTTGCTCTTGCTGTCACCCAGGCTGGAGTGCAGCTGGAGTGCAATGGCATGATCTTGGCTCACTGCAACCTCTGCCTCCTGGGTTCAAGTGACTCCTCTGCCTCAATCTCCCAAGTAGCTGGGACTGCAGGTGCACACCACCACACCTGGCTAATTTTTATATTTTTAGAAGAGATGGGGTTTTGCCATGTTTAGCCAAGCTGGTCTCAAAGTCCTGACCTGAGATGATCCACCTGGCTTGGCCTCCCAAAATGCTGGGATTACAGACCTGAGCCACCGAACCTGGCCGTTTTTTTTTTTTTTTTTTTTTTTTTTGAGACAGTCTCACTCTGTTGCCCAGGCTGGAATGCAATTCACAATCATGACCCACTGCACCTTTGAACTCCTGGGATCAAGGGATCCTCCGACTTCACCCTCCTAAGTAGCTGGGACTACAGACATGCACCACTAGGCCCTGCTAATTTTTAAAATTTTTGTAGAGATAGGTTCTTGCTGTTGCCCAGGATGGCCTCAAATTCCTGGACTCAAGCAATTCTCTGGCCTCAGCCTCCCAAAGTGCTAGGATTACAGGCATGATAAATCATTTTTTAAAGCATCTAGATCAAACATTGACTAGCAATATGAATGAAATATAATAATCTCAAGATTAATCAATAAACTTTGCAAACTTCCATCGTTTGCACCTGCAGCCAATTATTTGTCAGTCTTAAACTATGATTCTCTGATTAATGCTGTCTTTGCTAACGGGATGATTGTGCTTATAAAAATGCCAGTTTAGGCTTGGCATGGTGGCTCACGCCTGCAATCCCAGCTCTTTGGGAGGTTAAGGTAGGTGGGTCACGAGGTCAGGAGTTCCATCCCAGCCTGACCAACATGATGAAACCCTGCCTCTACTAAAAATACATAAATTAGCTGGGCGTGGTGGCACGTACCTGTAATCCCAGCTACTCAGGAGGCTAAGGCAGGAGAATCACTTGAACCCAGGAGGCAGAGGTTGCAGTGAGCCAAGATTGCGCCACTGTACTCCAGCCTGGGCAATAGAACAAGACAATATAT